AAATCCACACGTACCAAGGAAGCTCCTGACATCAGTTATTGAGTGGAACGGAACTGGCCACTCAGTAATTTTGTCCGTCTTCTTCACATCCGGCCTTCGGCCCTTCTCATTGCAGACGATCCCCAAAATAGTCGTTTCCCTCATGCAATGTCTGGATTTGGCCCCGCTTGCCGTGAGGTTATGCTCTTCGAGCAGGCTCAGGACCTTTTCGAGGTCCTGGATGTGTTTCCAGACAAAGCGCCTTTCCCCTGGTGAGACTTCGTCGCTCTCTTTCATCGCCGCCCCCTTCACTGCCAAATCGTCAATGTATGGCTGTGTGATATGAGGGCTGACTGACTGCATGGCCCGAATCATGGCTCGTTGGACCATTGCTACTGCGTTCGTCCACCCTTGTGGGGCCACGTTCATGTGGACTAATCCTCGCGGTGTGTGCATAGCTATCACCGGCCTATCCGGCGGGTAGACTGGGAACTGATCGTATCCTGAGTAAGGATCTATAAGCGAAATTATAGGCCTTCCAGCACAGGATTCTGATAGCGCGTCTGCATTCGGCAGTCCTCCAGCATCTCGCACGGTCACTGCATTCAATCTTTGCAAATCCTGCACCCACCGCAGCGTCCCGTTAGGCTTAATAAAGCAGAACCACGGGGACGCATACGGTCCACTTGAATAGTCGGCGACGTGAGTACGTATCTTGCCGTCGAGATAATCCACCACCTTCCTTTCCTCGTCAGGATTGGGATATCGCGCCCTTCTCATGTTCCAAGGCTTGTGTGGCACGGTATGGATGTGGATCATAGGTGTCTTATCTACATCCAGCCTGTCACGCTCCTCGTCACTAAACGCGTAGGCGCGATGCTTCCTCTTCATTAATTCCATCATCAGCGTTCGCTCCTGAGGCAACAGGAAATCAGACTCCCCTATGATCAACTCCTTCTCGTTCCCTTCGTTGATACGACATGGCCCTGCTAAAGCACTTTCCCTCATTCGTCGAATCAACCCTCGCTCTCTCTCGTAATATGCTTCCTCGTCCTCTGTAACGAGGACGGGTACCGGGTGGCACTTCTTGTCTACCATCTTGTACCGCCTTTGGGAACCCTGCTTGCGCCGTCCCAAAAAAAAAACCGACTCACAGATTGTGTTTGCGCTGATGCGGGGTTCCCTCCACTGCCTGGGAGCCGATATACCAATTTCAACCTTCCTGCCTCAGGGAATTCCAGAACTTGTTCCCTCAAGGCCTGGATGGCATCCGGATCTGCCATCTCATGCGCGGCCACCAGGTCCATGGCCTTCCCAACATCTGACAGGCTGAGGGAAAATGCTTTCACGCCCTCTCCTGCTTCGGGCTCTGCCCAGAGCCTCTTGCACTCTCCTTCCGACTCCTCGATTGTGAATGATCCTGGATTGGGCTGGTTCCTTATACTCCTTGGCCCAGTGTTCCTACAAGTAATTATTTCATAATTTCCGCAGGCAGGATCGCATAAGAGGAGGATCAACGTCCCATCTTTTTTGTTGAACATCACGGTCTCTGTCCTGCTTAGGAATGACCTCCCCAGGAGGATTCCATGGTCCACGTCTGGCATTATGAAGAAGCATGCCCTTGCCTTCACCTTTTCAACCTCGACGAACACATTCGAGGTTGTCCCGCAAAACATGGCCTTACAGCTGGCTCCATGCAGAATACCGCAGTCAGAACGGTCTATATCCAACCCGAATCTGATCGCGTCCGCCTCCCGAATAATGTTCATCTYTGCCYCGGTGTCCACCATTGCTGCGCACTTGGAACCCTTCACCATCAAATCCACCGTACCACAGGCTACGCACTTCCAGTCCATCTTCGTACCTGACTCTGCCCACTCTGCCTCCTTGGGCAGGATCGTACCCAGATGGACATTGGGCACCAGGCGCCGTGATATCCTCCCCTTCAGTTCATCGCAGAGTCGCGGGGCTGACGCTAGGATTTCCTTCAGGGTCATGAGGTCATTATGCCCTTCCAACAGTCAGTCAATCACCTTCTCTACGTCAAATCCCTCTTCCAACCGGATCGCGTATTTCTTCTTTTTAGGCGATCCGTCATGTATAACCGGTTCGACCTCTCCCCTGGTTCCCTTTTTCCTTGCTCGTTGCTCCGCTCTCTGATCCTCTTCTCTGCGCAACCTCTCGTCCTCTTCCTCTTCATCATCGTCGTCCTCTACTTCCACAACCTCTTTCCTTCTCCCTGGTTCGTGTTCCCCCCTTGGAGGCTCTTGGCTGGTACTGGCCTTGGCTTGATTCCTCCTTCACACTGCCTATGCCAGCCGGGCCTGCGGAGTGAGGGGTCTCCCCCTCATTCCTGGTTGAGGGCACGATCCCACCACATTTACTCCGGGTCGCCGGGGCGCTGACTCTGGGCCAGAGTCATAGAGGAATACTGTGGGGACATTAGACTTCCATCCTTTCACTCCTTCACAAAGGCCTACCAACTTTTGTTGGTACCTCCCCATCTTATCTAGCAAGTCCTTCATCTTCTCAAATAAGACGGACAGAGGCTCCATCTTTTCCTCCTCATCCTCGTCATTTGACTCGATGATTATGGCCCCTTCCGTCTCACTTCCTCCTTGCAGCCCTTGAGTCACTTCCTCATTGCTCCCCACTTCTTCCACCCCAAACGGCGGTTTCTCCTTTTCCTGCCATAGCCTAAACATGGCAGGGGGCGGTGGCCCCGCTGCCGCTCTTCGTTGGGCTTCAGCCCTTACCCTTCCAAACCTTCTGTCAATGGCCTCCCCAAACTAATCGTAGATATTCTCATCCATAGTAGAGGAAATCAGTCCGCTTCTCTCGTCTTCTCGTCTTATATTACAGAACCTTATAGTGTGGCCCTGCTGGTCACAATGTTGATAGAAGGCCGTCCTCGAGTCAAAGCGGGGTCTTCCATACCCCTGACTTCCCTGATCCCCTCGGCCTTGATAGCCCTGGCCTTGGTACCCCTGGCCTTGACTCCCTTGATCTTGGCACCCCTGGCCTTGACTCCCTTGGCCTTGGTACCCCTGGCCTTGACTCCCTTGGCCTTGGTACCCCTGGCCTTGACTCCCTTGGCCTTGGCACCCCTGGCCTTGACTCCCTTGGCCTTGGTACCCCTGGCCTTGGCCATTCCATTGCCTTCCTCTTCCACCGCCATTCCTGCCTCGCCCCTTTCCTCCACCCCTTCCTTCATTGCCTTGATTGCCTTGCCCCTGGTTCCCACCTCCTACAACACTGCCCTATGAACTGGGATCAGGTGACGGTGGCGGGGCCACAGGGTGGGCCTGGGCCGCGGGGTAGATGGGTGGCGGCATACTCGTCTGCGGTCCGGCTACTGGCGGCGTGCTTCCCCATGGCACAATTGCGTTGATCACCGGCCAGGGTCACTGTCCATAGGAGGGCGCCCCACCTTGCGAGGGGCCCGTAGTAGATGATGGAGCCGCCATATTTAAAGGGGTTGCTGCCTGGGCCTGATGCACTTGCGCTTTTCCTGATCCCTGTCCGCCCTGCGCCAAATTACGCACTTTGCGCTGAACCTTCGTCAAGTGCTGTGGCACGGGCTCTTCCTCTTCCCAGAGCTCCTCCTGACCAGCCTCCTCTATCACTGACTCTTTTCCTTTTACTTTAACAGCCGTCACCACCCTCCTTTGCACCACCGGCTCTGTTGCATACCCTAGCTGTGCCAATACGTCTGTAACAATCCTTGTTACTCCCGGGGTCCCAGAAGCGGTCGCATCTCTTTCCTTTCTCTTCTCTCTTTGCAGGCGCTCCTGACGATGTTCTACCTGGTCCAAACACCGAACTTCCACCCCTCTGTCAATGGTGGCCCAGGTGAGCTTAGTGCTACCTCCTCCATGTCTCGTCAATTCGACGGCCTCCGATGCTGTGAGTAGCCCCAGGAGGATGGCGCATTGTGCTTCCTCCGAAATCCCATGGACCTTTCGCGCCCTCTTCTTAAATTCTTGAACAAAGGCCCCTATAGTCGTAAAATCCTCTTTGTTCATCGCTTCAAGGTCCGTGGTAGTCAACAACCCGTCTCCCAGGTGGTATTTCCTCTGCATCCCCTCCTTGAACCTGTCCCAGCTACCTTGAGCCGCATCTATGACTTTTTTCACCTCCTGATGGTAGCTGTGGAGGACATACTGAAAGATGCGTTGAAACTTTACAACATTCGGCCGCCCGACCAAAGCTTGTTCCACCTGCTCTAGCCATTCTAAGACTCTTTCCCCACAGAAATGGAAAGTATCGACCTTTGGGATGTTGCTCGGGTTCCTTTCATGTCGGTCAATGGCCGCGATGAGGTCATCGAGTGTTAGGCCCTTCTTGGGAACAACTGATGCGCCGCCAGTCTCAGGCATCTTGACAGCCTCTTCTTTTTAAGTTCCCTGGCAAAAGAAGACAAGCACATCCCTTTTATTCAACACTATACCTTGACCGGTCTATTTCATCCGTCCTACCTAACCCTTAGTACTTACTTTACCCAATGTTAACACGATCATCTCTCATACTTCCTCTACTTGGGTAGGTAAATTTCCTCACCTACACTTAGTCATTCATATATTCCTTCATTACTTCTCATCACTCATTTATGCCTTTTCTTATTCACTTCTCATACCCGGATGTCGTTCCACCAGGGACAACGGTAGGCTTTCCGCTATCCCCGGCAACGGCGCCACCTGTCGGGCGCATAGGTCCGGCACCGCACGGGGGCAACGCGGGAACCTCCCGGCCGAGTCACGCAGGAGTTGGTTTTTATAGCCCTTTATCGCAATATACATGGAGCTTCCACAAGCCGCTCCGGCCGGGTGAGCCAGCCATACCTCTCGCGAGCCCCTACGACAGGATAGGGCCTACGCGAGGCACGGCTTACCTACACCTTACGGGAGCTGTCACCTCCCTTTGGTGGGCGTATCCCCGTTGAGCTACCAGCCCACAGTACGAAAGCTAATCAGTTGCAATCGCAGAGGTGGACCAGTCGAGGGCGTTTCTCGTTCGCTGTAGCATAGGGGGTACGCGCAGTAATACGCCTCTATCGGACCCCCATGCGAACCGACATCTTGGGGGGGCTGAGATCCCAAGCACGACTCATTGTCGGTCGACTAGGACGCATCCCACACACCACGCGCACTCCACTTTACGAACACTCATACACACAAAACAATATATATACGAAACGACACAATACTCACAACGCGACAACGCTCCTAGCCCCTCGGTAGCCAACCCATAACTTTCCAATGCAAAAATCGGATAGGCGTCGCGCGCTAAACTTAGTATAAAACCGCGCGGACGCAAGGCATACTCATATCGACTTGCAATGCAGGCGTACACAACCAGTCGCAACGATGGCGTACTATGTAGTGCCCATAATCAAGCGGTCCCTCGTGGATTCGAGTACCGCTTATGACACTCAAGTGTCAGACTTGAAGTGTCGTGAGGATCTAACCCTTCAGGACATTGCACGGCTGAAGGAATAGTCGTACAGCCGCCGAGGCACCTCAGACTCTCGACCTGAGTGTCACGGTAGGCAAATCAAATAGGCTTTTTGCGAGGGAAAACCCCTCCCCTGCAGAGCCTAGGGCTTGGGATGTCCTGTACAAGGACCTTCAATCCCGGCCCAGGACCAAACGTCCGACTAAGAAAATCATCAAAAAGCAAGAGACAAGAATAAGAGACCTCCCCTATGTCCCTCAGTCTCAGCTTTTGAGTGGGCTCCAATGTGGGGGCTCTTCAACCCATGCAAACATTCATCCCACGTATACCCATGTATACATATATAAGATTTTGATATGTGACGATCACTTTTCATGGTTTCGCTGAGGTCTCTCACAATACTACGTATATGTATTATTGTAGGCAACCAAATCCAGAATCTGATTCACAGCACATACCTGCCATCACATCAACAAACCAAATCAACAGCCCACACACTACAYGGAGTCAACCCCAACSACCTTCGACATTCAYACYCCTTGCTTTAGCCATGCAATCCCCAAAACCTCGTGTCCAASCAACCTTAATTAAATACTCAGCACCTTTGTCAAATGGCCATTCAATAAAAGTCCGGGTGAAACCTTAATAAAACAACGAAATCACCAGGGCTAAAGCCTTYWAKGTTGAGTGTAGAGGGAGAGTTGAAATTGAGTCGTAGACCGACGAATCGGCAACCGACCTGTTATCAGTGATAATAGTAAGTGATCCTCAAGRGATCAAGCTGGATCTAGCCCTGAACTTGGATCAAATGATCAAAAGGACCTGTAACACACGGCAGACCAATCCCCAARCTAAGATCATAAGTRTATGGAGAATACAACTCCATAATACATCCTCAGTCAAAACTTCCTTATTAGCTAAATCTAAGTCTACTTTTAAGTCGGTGCTTAAGCTGAAGGTAGACCAACTGCTAAATCTCCTCTATTCTGGGTGGATCGCCTGAATCACCTATCAAAATATCATCTATCTTCTCTGAACTAAGAAAATTTTGGCAGCGCTTCCCGTAGGAAAAATGTCTTTTCATAATTTATATAAGCCCAGATGTGGGAGCAGAAATAATCTCTAACTCCTAGAAGGTCAAATTTTACCTAACTGTTTGAATTAGTAGAAATTTGGGCAGCACTGCCTTTAGAAAGGGAGACTTCCCAGATTTATGTTAATTCAGATATGAAAGCAGAATTAATCTTTAACTATGAAAAGTCAAATTCTGTCTAACTCTCTGAATTAGTAGAAATTTTGGCAGCACTTCCTTTAGAAAGGGAGACTTCCAAAATTTATACTCAGTCAGATATGAACTCGAACAATAGCTCGAGCTCAACTTTAGACTGAATTTAACTAACTMCTTAATTTTGTAGAAATTTCGGCAGCACTCCCTCTAGAAAAGTGTTATTCCAAAATTTATACAAGGCTAAGTTCAGAATTTTGAGAATAACTTTGACTTCTCAAAGTCCAATTTTGTCAAACTCCTTGAATTAGTAAAAATTTGGGCAGCACTCCCTTTAGAATGGGAGACTTCCCAGATTTTAACTAAGTAAGATCAAGAGAAAAAACAAAGTTGAACTTTTGACAAGTCAAAATTCAACTAACTCCTTGGATTTGTAGAAATTTCGGCAGCGCTTCCCGTAGAGAAAGTAGCTTGCCAAGATTTATACAAAGCCAAGTACAAGAAAAGATCTCAGAAAATGCAAAAATTGACCGAAGTAAAAAAAAGTTATTACAGAAAAAACAGTAATTGAAACTAACTCTTACAGCTCTAGCACGTGGCGAGCAACTAAAGCAACTATGTATCAAACTGAAACTCAGACGAAGTAGTAATCTCACTCAGTCACATGCAAACCAAACCACGAATGTAAGTACTCTCACCCTCTCAAGTTCATTCCATATAAATAGTTCGTGAATCTTCAAGTTCTTGAATCCTTATACCCATCTTACATAAGACATAGAGCTGGACCATTCCTCATGAAAACAATGTCCAACTTGTCTTTATGATATACACGAACAGATTGCACAACTACTTTTTTTTCTTCTTTTGGGCAGATGACTAAGCCATTCGCCATGAAAACAATGCCTAGTCGCCCTGAGCTGTTTAATATCCAAAGTTTTAGTATTTTTCTGACTTTGTTTTTAAAAGAAAAAACAAATATGGGCAGGGGACTGAACCATTCACAGTAGAAACAATGTTTAGCTTGCCCAAACTATTTTCATTTATACTTTGTATTTTCTTTTTTCTCTTCTTAATGATATGGCTTCACGCTGGACTATGCACAGTAGAAACAATGCCCAACTGCCAGTTCACATGCAAATATACATAAAATACTTTCCTTTATACTTAGTTTAAATTATGTGCGTGGTTTTCAGGCTAAACCATTCACCATAAAAACAATGCTTAGCCATAGACCAAAAATCCTCCCTCAAAATAAACAAGAATTTAAACCCCTTCAATCAGACAACCCTCAGAGTTAACTAAGGTAGCCAGGCCATTCACAGTAGAAACAATGCCTGGTTCCCCTAGAAAACAATAAAATAAACATAGCAACCAGACCATTCACAGTAGAAACAATGCCTGGTCCTTAAGAAAACAGTCAAATAAACATAGCTCTGAGCCATTCACAGTACAAACAATGGTTAGGCTTTGGTTGACCCTGTCAATCACAAACAGTCTGCCTTCCTCCCACCTTCCCCCAGTTCATCCTTAGCCTGCTTTCAGTCAAAACAAAGATGAAACTTAAGCTTCACTCTCACACATTCTTTCCATTCAATCTGATTAGGTCCTGAAGAGAAAACAGTAATCATAGGGACAACTCATGCATAAATCAATCATACTGCAGGGAGATAGGCAAACATGGGTAGTAGTGGATTATACAGGTGGAAGTGGTTTACCTGATGATTCCCTGCCTCCAGAACCTC